TTCTAAGGGATGCACCGCCACATGTCCATGGCATCTGGCAAGTGTCACCTGGCCTTCAGCAGTGCCTGGGTACCTGTCCTTCCTGGAAAGCCAGCATACTGCTGCTTGGTTCATCTTCTCTTCTAACGATGAAGGTGATTCAGAGGAGTCCATGATGCTGTGTCTCTGACCCACATCCCCACCCCCAGGCCTCATCACCTTTCCCCTGACAGCACAATAAGAAGGGGCCAGAATCTCACTCTCAGTGGCTGTTTCCACTTGGGCTCCTGTCACTCTCCCACTTGAGATTCCCAGGAACTTTCTCCTGCTTCAGATGAGAACACACAGGATCTGCTGCCACGTCGTGTCACAGGAGCAGCCACAGCAGCTGTCATGGGCTCAGGGTTGCAGTGCTCACTCTTGCACATGATGGTGGGAGTACCATCATGAACTGCCTTTGCCCCACTAATAGGCCTGTGACTCTCGAGGAGGAGTGTTGATCAAGCCTGAGCCATCTGTCTACATGGCCACTCACCCCCTCTCCTGCCATGCGGGATCCGTGTGCTCCAGCAGCTTCTCAGTTATGCCCCATCCTCCTATTCCTGAGCACATGCACCTGCTGCCTTCTGGAAAGTCCTGTCATCAGGACTTCTTTTTCACTACACACACAATGAGTATTCTGCATTGTGTTTTGTTAGCAACGTCCTCACCAACCCCCTTACAAGCATTAAAATTGGCCATTTTCACTTTCTCACATACAGGTGTGTTTGCAGTTTCCTCAAACGATTGGGGTGAGCACCCACCCCAGCTAAGAAGAAGATTGTGGGTATCAGGTGTCTTCATTCACAGCACAAGCCTCTTCTTGTCATAGAGCTTTGGGCAGCCTGAGTTCTTAGAGGTGTATATCTGAAAGTTCAGAGCTTGAGGGAGGACTTCTAGATACTCAAACACTGGGTGTGGCAGAGGGAATTTGGAGCATCTGGAGCTGTTTGGACATTTTCAGAACTGCTGAGCTGGATCTGTGTAGCAGAGATGCCAAGAGCACACAGGAAGACAGGACTGTCAGCTGTGACACAGAATGCACACACCTGTGATCTGGGGGGAGGTTAGCACTGTTGGTTTCCATATTCTCTCTCTTGCTCTCTTTCTCTCTCTGCTTTTTAAAAATATTTTTATTTTGTATTAATAACTGTTTTACCTGCATGTGTATCTGCACCATGTACACATCAAGGAGACCAAAAGAGGGCATCAGAGCCCGTGGAACTGGAGTTAGAGACAGTTGTGAGCTGCCGTGTGGGTGCTGGGGATCAAACCAGGTCCTCTGGAAGAGCAGCCTGTGCTCTTAACCTCTAGTCTCTCCAGCTACTGTCATCGTTTTTGAGACAGGGTCTCACTATGTAGTACATGCTGGCCTCCTACCTCAGCCTCCTGAGTACTGAAATTACAGGCATTTATCACACCCGGCTAAGTCCTTAGGATCTTCAGTTATTTGGTTGGCTGGTTGGTTGTGTGTGTGTGTGTGTGTGTGTGTATCCCCACCCCTTTTGAGGCACATTCTCAGCCTTTCTGACTCCCTTTATGATTCCTCCATGGCTTATCATAGGATGTGGGTTGCTATTGTCCTGAAAGAGGCGCTTGAGCTAGAAGACTGTGGAAAACATTGTAGAGGGAATGCATACTTGGTCTTTGTCAAACTGCGTACTTTTAAAGATAGGCTGGAAATGTACCATTTAGCAGACCATCATGAAATCAGTGAAGTTTCTTGAAAATTCTGCAGATTGTGAAAGTCTTTAATAGCTTCAGGGATCCATCTCAAAAAGGCTTTGGGCGCAGCACCTCATTAGCAGAAAGAGTACTGCTGGAGCCTGAAGTTCCTAGGGATCATGCCCCCTGTTGAGCACACAGCAAGAGAGGCGAGCTAAGTGCAGTTGAGTGTTGTGGCCGCCAGCATCTCAGCTCTCTGCCGCTGCCTCTATCATCAGCATCCTGAAATGATCTGAGTGCTTCAGCCTGCTTGCCCTTCAAGGAGGGTGGTGCTTGCACTTCCTGTGCTGTATAGGGCTGTAAGGATGATCCAAGGAGCCAATGCTTAGAAGAGCACCTGGCTACAGCCGGTGCTACCAAAGCCTCGCTCCAGAAGTAAGAAGCCCACATGATGGCTCAGGTTTGCAAGGGCCTTATATGGAATTACTTTCTAAAAAGACAGTAGTGACTTCTTAGTGTAAATTTGAATCAGGGATAAAATGACAAGTATTATGCAATCTGTGTATGTGAAGGGTGAATTTCCTAATCAGAGTGGAAAGATATTCTTTAGTGCCCTGTGGGTTTATAGCTTTGTTGATCACATTTGTCTTTAGTCTACCCAAAACATATTTTTATGAAACACTGAGGTAAAATTCAATTTAAAATATTTTCCTTATGAGTAAGTAGTCATAGTGCTGTTTGATGTAAAGTTTCTAGCTTGCTGTTTCTCCCCCATCCCCTCATTTTATAGTTCTGGCAGGCCTGGAACTCATTATGTAGGCCAGGCTAGCCTCTAACTCAGAGATTCGCCTGCCTGAGTCATGAGTGTTGGGGCTAAGGTCGTGTGCCACCCTGCCTGACTCTGCTCTTTCATAAACCCGGTTCTGTATAACCGTGGGCTTCTTGTTTCTATCTATTCAGTGGCCAGTTTGCTAGATCTTGTAGCACTGTTATTTATTTCTAATTTCTACAACTTCAGAAAAAGATCTTAGAAAAATCAAGGTGCCTCTAACTTTGATAATTTTATAAATAAATAAATAATAAAAAAAAAATCAAGCAAAAATCAAGCTGGCCAAATTGCTCAGTTGGTAAAATCTCTTGACCTGAGTTTGTGCACGTATATGTGCATGTTCATGTATGTGAGTGTGTGTGTTCTTGTTTTCTTGTGTAAAGGCATGTGTTGTGTGAGGAGGCCAGAGGTTAATGTCAGTTGTCTTCTCCAGTGGCTCTCCACCTTATTTTGGAGACAAGGTCTCTCACTAACCAAGAGACTGCTGATTTGGACCAGATTAGATGATTAGATTAGCTGACCAGTGATCTACCAGGGTCCTTCTGGATCTGCCTCATAGGAACACACTGCCATGCCTGGCTTTTTTTTTTTTTTTTTTTTTTTTTTTAATATGGGTGTTAGAGATCCAAACTCAGTCCTGTCCTGTCCCTGTGTTTGTACAACAAGCACTTTAGCAAATGAGCCAGCAACAGCCCCTAATAATGTTAAGAGTTGTCTTCTCTCCTCTCCAGCCACCCCATTTTGCTTTTATTGTGTATTACCTATTGTGTTTATGTGTCATGTTTGTGCGTCACCACCTCTGTGAGCCTCTTGGTCCTGCTCCCTGCCCTTCTCTCTGTTTGTTAGCCATGAGAGTTCCATCATTTTCTATTCCGGAGCTGGCTTTAGGGCACTGCAGGGAAAACCAGTGTGACATGCTGTAGGTGCAGGGCACACCAGGCCAGTCTAGGGTCACCTGACATGAGCAGTTGGAGGGTTTCCTGGTTGTCCAAGCCTCTCTTTGCCTGCTTTGCCTCTCTTGGCTCTATTTCATTTTATCTCAGCAACCACCTCACTCCACCTTGACAAAAAAAGCATGTTCTGGATGGACAACCTCCTGTGTCCCCCTTTCACTTGAAGCCTCATCATGGGATGGCCTGACAGCTGGGGCACATTTATTCCAGGAGCCGGGTGCTCTGTGTCTTCTGGGGCCTGGTGTGCTCCCTCAGTCTTCTTTCTGTCTGCTCGGCCCTCCTTGTTGAAGATTGCTCTAGTCTCCTCCACAAGGAAATGAGGGCATGATAAAGTAGCCTCTTTGCACCCTCCAGTCTGGCCTCCACAGACCTTCCTGTAACTCCTCACCTGCACCTTTTTTTTTTCAATCCTCCGGCCCTAAGGCCTGCTGTCCTCCAATGTGTTGTACAGTATCCCCGAGGAGCCAGAGGCTTTATTAGCTCCAGCAGCTACTTGGCCTGTCTCCAACCTAGTGCTCCTTCCTGAGATCCTTTCTGAGTGACGACATACTTGCACACCCTCTCCCCAGAGTCACCCCTTCTCTCAGTTCTTCTCTTTCCTTCCCCTTCAAGAGTAATGTTGCCCACTCTCCTCCTGTGTTGGCTTGCCCTTCCTAGCTCTAACGTGAACGTTTTTGTGGGTTTTGAAGCTCCGCGAACATTTCATTCTCTAACCTCCACTGTGGTCTACCTCACTTGCCTCTAATGGCCCTCCTCTATCTCTACCTCACTTGCCTCTAATGGCCCTCCTCTAGCTCTGCAGTGATGATGTTGCTTGTAGAGACCTTGCTACCTGAGAATGCAGTTTGTGAACTGTGTGCCACAGCAGCCTGGGCAGCACAGAAGCCAAGAAGCATGAGTGTGCCCTTCCCTGGTGGCGCTGGGCTGGGGTAGGAAAGTGAAGGCAGTTTATTAACACATAGTTATGGTGGCAGCAGATCCCAGGATACAGAAGAAAAGAAAGAATTACTTGGAAAAGCAGCTGTCTCAGAGATGACATGGCTTCAGCCTCACCTCCCACAGATCTGTCTGTCCAAATTGGATTCACTGGGCTTGCCGTGGCCTTGTTGAGGCGCAGTCTCCACCCTCTTTCTAAAGTGTCATTCCTGCCTCCCAACTTTCTCATCATCATGGCTGTTCTTGCAAATGCCACTCCTGAAGCTTATGGTCACTTCCCACAGAGCTCCTGTTTCCTGCCCATGAACACTTGTCATTTTGGGCCTTTTGTCTGGAGTGCTCGTGTGCCAGCCTCCATCTCTTCCCAGAGCAAAACTTCTCTGTGTCTGAGTCAGCTGTAAACTGTTCTAGCCCTTGGCACTGCCCTCTGCATGGCGAGGGAATGCCTCAGAAGACAGAGCATCCTAGGCATTCAAGGTCAATAGAGCTGGCAGACTGAAATATTGTGAATGCAGACTCAACACAGCTCTGCTTGTAACAGTTCTCAGTGTATACACATTGTTTTGTTTTATTTTTTGTTCTGTTTTGTTTCCAACCAGTGCTTAGAAAGAGCCATGAAGTTTGCTTTTGAGGAGTTCCACCTCTGGTACCAATTTGCTCTGTCGCTGATGGCTGCTGGAAAGGTGAGTCTCTTCAGGAGTGCCACTCTGTCCAGGTTTATGTCATTGAATTTCATGAAGGATAAACCTGCCACCTCATGGAAGGCTAAGACACCATTACAGACAGTCCTGTGGCCTTTTCAAAATGGACTGCCAAAGTTAATTATTTAGGGTCTAAGATGGGCGTAGGACTAAGATGAGGATTCTTAATTTGCCTTTTTTTAAAACCTGTTATTACTCACTCATGTGAAATATACATGGTTAAGTCTTAAGTCTGCAGCAGATGCTGCAGGATGTCTTACTGCTGATGCTTTGTGGAAGCCCGGGGTGCTAGCATAGCTGAGTGACAGAAGACATATCACTTAGTGTCTCCATTTCTTTTTTAGTAAAATGGAGTGATAAGTGCCTACTTCTAGAGTTATCAGAGAAAAGCAGAACCACTCACTAATATTTAGGGTGGCAGCCCTGCAATATGTACACTTGACAAAGGTGCAGCCATTAGTAAGTCTGGTATTTGGTGGACTGTGAAGTCTCACGTAGAAGACTGTGCCAACTGAGCTCAGGAACACAGTTTAGTTTGCTTTTAATTATGTGTTTGTGTTTTCATAGCAGTGTAAACTTCTGCAGTCTATTTTTTTCTTATTGTTGCAGTGGCTACACAGTAGAGAGTGAGGTAGGCAGGTGCCAGAGGCACATTTCAACCTCCTCTTGATAACAGTTTACTCCTTGTCCCTCTGAGCCCAAGCTCTGGTTCTCACAGACCTGGGTCCCTGCTTGGTTGGGAAACCCCTCTAAGAAGGCTAGAATGTTTCGTTCTGTCAGACTTTGTAAGTTTTACAGAATTGCTTTCTCCTTGTGCAGTCTGCCCGTGCTGTGAAGGTGCTGAAGGAATGTATCCGGCTAAAGCCGGATGATGCCACCATCCCGCTTCTGGCAGCCAAGCTGTGTGTGGGTTCCCTTCACTGGGTAAGTGGGGAGCTTGTCCCCTCCTCTACAGGGCCTCCAGTCGAGGACCAGTTTCCTCCATGCTTCCATACCAAGCCTCACTCACCTCAATCAGTGGATTTCCAGCATGCTCCAGGTTTTCTTTCTAACAGAAATGTGCTTGAAAAGTAAAAATGATAGGATATGTTGGATTCACACTCAGAGAGATATAGCTCACTGTGTGTGTGACATGTAGGACTAAGAAGGTCCCACAGCTTTCTAGTCACCTTTGACTTAGAAATTTACTCTCTGCCTCAACACATATATAACACAACTTCCTTCAGGCATCCTCTTTCACAAATACTTTCTTCAGATTGTCTTGTTCAAACTTGAATGTGGCAGTAGCCTGATTTATCAAGGCTCTAGTACAGCAAATACAGCATTAGAAAACAGAAACTGATTTACTCGCTGGGCTGGTGGCATAGGTAATTGTCTCCTACAGTGGAGTTTTAATTTCTTTGATTGAATTTCATATCCAATTAGTTTGGAATATGAAGAATAATTTGCCCCAAAGCCCAAGACTCCCTGATAACGGATGTTTTCTTCCCTTACAGTCCTTGCTGCCTTTTTTTTTTTTTTTTTCCATGTATTCTCACCCAGCAGGAGAAAACTGAGCCTTGTAAAGAAAGTGATTCATTGTTGTTTGATTTCCCTTGAAGGAACATAGCAGAGAAAAGGAGCAAGCAGACGTAGACTCACAGCCATGAGCCTGTGGAGTCGGCAGTTTGGGGCTGTGAGCAGAGGGGACAGTGCTGAGAGGCTGGAAGGGAACAACAAGGGCTTAGATTGCAAGTGACTGCTGCCCTCCTACCAATGGCACCTCTGCTTATTACTGTGACAAACAGGCCCTAAACACCCAAACAAACCTTTCCTGCATGTCTCTTCTTACCATTTTGTTGTTACAATTTTCAAAGACCTCAATAATCAAGAGTATAATAAACTCTTATGTACGACATCCAGCGTCAACACCATCATTTGCTGCACTTTTAAAGAAACAAATCTCACTTTTTCTCTAATGAACTGTCCAAGAGATCTTGTTGAGAGTGCAGTTTACATATTTCTCACAGAGATCTGCTGGAGCAAAGCCCATGTGCTGTGTTCTGTAAAACAGGTCGAGTTTTGAAAATTTTTAACAGCTTGTGGCAAAGAGAATCCAAGTTTAAATGTATTCTTTTTGTCATGAATAAAGGGAAACACCCAAACACAAGACATTTCAAGAACTTATTCTTTTTAAGCATATTTCATTTGACCTCTGACTCCTGAGTCCATCCTCATTATAGAACCAAGCAGTGAAAAAATGAAGATGGAAAAAATAGAAACCCACCAAATATGAAAGCAACTTTGGAAAAGAAGGCAAAGAAATGAAAGGGGAAAGTTTAAAGAAAAGATAAATAGGAGTCCAGTAGACCATTGAAAAGGCTCAGTAAAGAAAAGAGAATTGCCAGGGTAGAGTTGGAAGGTTTGGGGGTTATTTCCAAAGCAACCCATCAGAAACCCACTTTTAGTAGCAGGTGCTTATGGAAGCTGATTTACAAGTTTGACAGGTTGTTGTTTTTTTAACTTTCAGTTGGAAGAAGCTGAGAAGTTTGCCAAAACTGTTGTTGATGTGGGAGAGAAAACGTCAGAATTCAAGGCCAAAGGCTACCTAGCTCTGGGACTCACATATAGCCTGCAAGCCACGGATGGTGAGAGACGCCCCACCCTGCCGAGCCCGAGATCACCCTGCAGCATCTTATAGTCTCCTCTGTCTTTGGAGGGCACAGAGCTGGGCCACCCTGGTATCCTGGCCTGGGACCCCCCCCAGGGCACCCATCTTCTCTGTCTAGATTAGGACGGGGAATGTCAGAGCCCCGGCCTGTAGAAAGAGGTGCACGGGGCTAGTGGTGCCCAGGTTCCCAGCCAGGGCTGGGAACCTACATCCAGAGTGAGAAGAGCAAGACCTCTGGAGAGGCAGCGCTCACAGCCGTGCTCCCGCCCGGGCCCATCCCTGAGGGGAGGGATGGGTGCTGGGCCTAGGAGACGGTATATATGTAGACGGTAGTATAGAAAAGGTAGAGCCAAAACCTTGCAGGGAGCACCCACCTGGCCAGGGGCTGTGCACTTATTCTAGCTCTCATAACTGTTCTCATATTCCAGCCCACAAATCGTACACATGCAGTGTAGGTAGCCAGTGCCCATGGTTCTCAAGGGTGGTGATTTATATGTTTTGGATATACTAAAGAGTTTCAGTTGATGGGTTTCTTTACTTTAAAGTAACTCTTCATTATGTTTTCTATATTTAATAAAACTTTTGCAGAAAGTATAAGTTGCTGTTATTTTCTGATTTGTTTTTTTAACATGCTGTTAAATATAACATGAATAGCAAAAAAAAACAAAACAAAAACCCTCAAAGACAGGTATATAGCTTAATGACTAGACAAGGCAAGCTGCCCTGAAGCACCACTCATAGCATCAGGTAGAATGTTGCCAGCCTCTTGGGGAAGTCCTACTGCCCTGTCAATCACAGTAGAGCAGAGTACCACTGATTCCTATAAATTAACCCAAATCTTTTTTTTTCTCTACCCTAAAATGCTGCATTTTTGGCATGTCAATTGCTTCTCAATACTGGATTTCTGGCTATTTTTTTCATGTACATATGTTATATTGGCCATACTCAGCACGTCTTCAAATCTCGATGTTCAGGAAAAGTCTGAGTGTCATAGACTTACCCGCCTACATTCTCGATCCAGCCTCTACCCCTAAACAGCCTTTAGAACAAGTGCACTCTCCTCGGCCTCTTAGAGCACTGGAACTTCAGTTGGGTCAAGCAGAGGTTCTCTGTAGATCAGTGGAGGTTCTGAGTAGCCCTGGGTCCAGCTACGTCCAGCCTTGTGGGCAGCTTCCAACTGCTAATTTCCTGGCTGCCAGGAGCTGCCCTTGTGCAGCAATTAGATAAGGGCCTCCCGCAGTGCAACTACAGACAGACCCCTCAGGACTATTCCTGACTCCAGTTTAAAAAAAAAAAAAAAGTGCCCTTTTTGTTTCTGGGTGGGCAGTAAGGGAGCCCTTTCTCTTCTTCTATACAGGAAAGTATTTTCCCACAGGCAGGAGGCCTCACTCCTGTTATCTGATATTCTTACACCCATGTTGGGTTTTGCCATTCTTTATGTTGACATCAAGGTGCTAGAATCCTGGCCATTGGCCAGCATGAATTAAACTAGCATCAAGCCAGAGTTCTTGTCCCAAGGTCATAGCCGCTCAGTGCCAAAGGATCTCTGACATATAACAGAAATGTGCTGGGAAAGTAACAATGATACAATAGATTAGATTCACGCTCAGAGCAATACAGCTGGTTGTGTGCATGACATGTAGGACTGAGAAGGTCCCCAAAGCTCAGACTGTCTTATTGACATTGTTCCACAGTGATGTCCACTGATCATCGCAAGAGCCTTGGGGGTGGGACTGGGCTTCCTACCCTAACAGTGCCTCGTGCAGTAGGCACTCAGAACCTGGTATATAACGTGGCTTTTGTAGTGGGTTTAGTATTGCCACTCCCCACCCCAACTTCTCCTGCCACCTACTAACAGAACCCTTTTCTCAGCTTCTTTGCGAGGGATGCAGGAGGTCCTGCAGAGGAAGGCGCTTCTTGCATTTCAGAGGTGAGTGGGAGTTCATCTTTTCACTTGCTGCGCGTAGTGACAACTGAGTATGATGAGTATGAGAAAGGCAGGGTATTTTTAAAGGTTATGTAAACAGTGTTTTGCCCCCAGGAGTATGTTGTCTTGAGCAGCAAACATAAAACCTCAAAGCTGGAAGCAGAGGACCTCTCATTCGGCTACACTTTCAATCTTTTTATCCATTTGGGTACTTTTTAGTCATTCCTGATAAAGTAATTTCAGCTCAAGAAAGATAGACACTTTGACTAGAGAGATGGTTCTTTTATTAAAGGCATTTGTCGTCCTCTTGAAAAGAGGTCCTTCTTTTCTGGCTTTTACATTAAGAGCTGAAGAAGCTAAGGATTTGAAAGTGTCTGAAACACTGTGTTAGCAGCCATCCCAAACTCCCTGACCTGCCTTGCTCCACAGTACCTTGCCACTGTCTCTCTCCTTGTGCCTTTCTTGAACACAGAGCAATGCATTATCATTGTAAACGCTGTATCTCCAAGCTCCTGTACACACCTGGACAGACAGGACAAGCAATAAAGGCATCGCAGTGTGGGGATGAGGTGCAGGAGTGAAAGGAGTTATTGGGGATGTAGACTGGACCAGTGTAGAGCTGGGATCTCATGACGGAAGGTAGTTTTACTTGTACTTGATTTTACTCACTGTGGGTATAATAAATTATCAAAATTAAACTGGTCCCTGAAAATACAGCCCTGTAAGGTGAAATCCAGAATTGAAACTGATCCTGTTATTTTAAATACGCCTGAGTTACGTTGATCTCTTAAAACTATGTTAATACTCAGTCACTCCTTTGAAAATCTCCCTGTACCAGCCAGCTTTGTTAGCTCCTTTCCTCAGCGTTGCTTGCTGCAGATCTGTTACGTTGCTCATGTGCCATTTTTCATGAAGTCATTATCACTTGGATTTGCTACTTGAAAGTACCCTGCCTCATTTCTGTTTCCAGGCAGGCTGGTTCATAACTCTTTCACTTTGCCACTCTGATTCTTGATTGACATCTGTTGACATCTGCAAACACCCCTGTCTCTGGGTTCACTCTTATTATTAGTGTTTCTCAGCCCAGAGCACGAAAGTGTTTCCATTTCAAATGGTTCCAGGCTTTACTTTCTCCAGTTCTGGTTTGTCAAACCCGCACACGGATGCCTCAGAAAGTAGCCATCACATCTGTTTCGCTTTCCTTTAAGTCAGCACATCTCACTGGTTCTCTGAAAACATCCACAATGGTGGTCTGCCTGGGGCTGCCTGTGTAACTGAGGGTTATGTAACAGCTGTTCTGTCGGCCTGAATTCATTTCTGTGCCTTTTCTACTTAGATTTGAATTCAAAGAGATTTAACATGTTTGTTCATAAGAGGACTAAGAAGCAACAAACCCTTCTAACTGACTACATTGCAGAAGGCTAACCTAAATTAGTTTTGTGTGAAATACAGACTGTTTTTCAAATGGACAATGATTTTGTTTCAAGTGAACATTGACTATTTTAGTGAATTGGAGACCTAATAAAAAGCTTTAAAGAAAAGATTTTAAGTAAATAAGAAAGGTTGTATTACTTCTTAACTGAAAATAGATCATTTAGAACCGCTTGGGTGAGAAATGTTTTTCTACTATGTATTTTATATAGTTCCCCCCAAAGTTCTGTTTATACTTTCAGTTTGCTTCTGGTTTTGTTGTTCATTTGTTTTGTTAAAAAAAAAAAAAAAAAGTGGTACATTTAAAAGAGGGACAGGTTTGCAGATACAGCCTATGGGAATGAAGTCTTAAGCATAACTAGAGGCAGAATTTGGAAAGATTTGTTCTCTGGAAAACTCAAAGGGGCAATGTCTGAATGTTTCAAAGTGGTATAACTTTATCTGGATGTTATCAGCTGTTCTTCCTCATAACCCAGTCACCTCAACCAGTTCATGTTGAACAAAAGTATGGTCAAGAAAAACACCATTGTGCGCAGTGTTATAAGCTGTTGCTTCAGTGAACTTTCACATCCTATTGAGAAAAGCAGTCCCAAAGATCCTGACAGCATGTGTCATGAGTGCCCTAGTAAACACTGCTCTCAGGGGAGGCAGTGGCATTACATCACCTGTGTTTACCACTCAGAGTGGCATGGGCTGTGCAGCCTCGCTTTATTATCTCTTCTCCCCTTAGCTTAGGCTTACATGTGGTTGTTTTGCATGAAGAAGATGGTAGATTGGGGCTGAGCTATCCCTGGAATGCAGGGCTTTCAGTGCTAAAGCCACCTGGACATCTTAATGTGAATAACTAGTGAAAGAGCCCTGATTTAACCAATGTGCATTCATGAATTCTGTGCCCATTGTAATCAGAAGTGAAAGGGACTTAGAAAAATTAGCCAAACAAGGCAGCAGGGTGTTGGTATAAAGACCAAACCTTGGCATCTGATAGTCCCCCGTTCCATTTCTGCTTTTGCCTCCTTTTCTGGGTATTCTTAGGTAAGATGCTTATGGTAGATACTTCATAAATTGTAACCATCATTGCCTTTAGACCTGTGCTTTAAAAGGCAGAATCAAAACTGATCAACGTTGCCTATATTCTTGGCTCAGCTCCAGACAGTGTTGGAGCTGGAATTTAGGGATGTGCTGGATGTGCGGGGTCTAGCCAGGTAGTCTGAGTCATCCATATTGCAACAGCAACCCAGTATGTCTCTGTCTGGCCACTGTATCCATTACACCATGATGATCATTTTGGGTCTTCCCTTCTTGTGGGGCGGGAAGAACTCCTTAAGGAAAGGCACTTGTATTATTCATCTCCAGACTCCCTAGAGCCCCAGACTTATTCTTCAGAGTAAGTACTGTGAGTACTACAGAATATAGATGGATAGATAAATGGATGAAGGGGTAGGAGTGGGTAGGTGGATTAGTAGATGGGAGAAAGGTTAAGTCAATAAGCAGGTGAGCTGAAGGATGGGTAGGTGGATGGATTAGTGGATAGATGGGTGGGTAGGTGGGTGGGTGGGTGGATGGATGGAAGAGTATGTGGATAAAAGGGAGAGTAGGTAAATAAAGAGGTAGCTGGGTTGGTGGATGGGTGGGTAGAAAGATGGGTAGGTAGGCAGGTGGGAGGATGGCTGGACATATGGGTAACCTCTTTTTTCATGGAGGAAGAATTGAATTAGTTAAGATATAGGTGCTTTGCCAATAAAGAAGCGCAATGAGCATCCTGTGGTGGAATTTTTAGTCGTCTAAATTTTCTTTTGCAACCTGGCCAGATGCTCCTGCAGAAGGATGGCTTGTGGAGCTGCCTCAGATTCGTGCAGAATTTTCAGGCTGGCAGCTGCATGAACACTGGTTTTTGTTGACTGTGTTAGCAGTAAGATATGAAACGGTCCTTGTCCTAGGAGCTTAGCTGCGTGAGCTGTCCTGCACAACTGTAACAAGCATGTGGCATCTACAGGGGCAAACCCCACTTGATTTTTCTTGTTTCATTTGCTATTTCCCACCTAACCCCCCTTTTTTCTTTTCTTTTTTTCTCCATAAAGTAGTCCTTCTGTTCAATTCATTTTGCAAAATTTCCCAAACAAGGCAGTTAAACTATGCATGCTTTAGGGTTCACTTCATTAGAAATTGGCAGTTGGATTCTCATTGTTAGCCTCACTGGAAATTCTTTAGAAGTCACTGTAAGGCACCCTAGAAATTGCTAGCACTTCTCATTTGTTTCTTTTACAGGCCTTTGGTTAGTGGTTCACAATCCTTTGTTGAGACCAGAGTGGGGCCTTTGCCATAACTAAAAAATCATCCACACTGAATTCTCCAGGTCATCTGCCAGCTTCTCACTTAGTTGGCACTGGATAGAAGCAACCATGATTTAACTTAATTTGTGGAAAAATACAAACTGGGCTGAGGAAAAAGTATAGTTCTGACAAACTATTTTTGATGGCAGTTGAAACCTTGCTTTATTATTTTTGAAAGAAGATGAGACAAAATAAATTACTCTATATAATAAAATGGTTTTTTATAACCAATTTTGGACTCATTTTCAATGGATAATTAGGGAAGACAGAAACCATAAATTTTTACCTCACTTACAAACACCGAAAAAAAATCCTTTCATGTGCAAATGCATGGAGAGCCAGTGCTTACAAATCATGCAAGCACCGTGCAGTGAAGACACAGTTCTCGGCCTCCACCTCTAAACACAGGGCAGAAAAGCCTAGAGGTTGTGGCTTGTAGCTAGGCTGCTAGTGAAGATTCCTCAGGAGTGAGTTTGTTTTGCTCTTAATATTAACAAAAGAAGCCATGGGATTCTGGGTAAAATGCTCACTGCACAAGCTTGAGAATCTGAGTTTGACTCCCAGCACCTGCCTAAAAGCTGGGTGTGGCAACTGATGCCCTTATTTCCAGTGCAGACAAGGCAGAGAAAGGCGGGACCCTGTGGCTCACTGGCCAGCTAATCTAGTCAGAACTTTGAGCCACAGGTTCAGGGAGACACCAGGCCACAACTAAAAAAGAAAGGGAAGAAGTGGGGGGAGGAAGGAGAGAAAGAAAGAAACAGCTACTCTGTCCTCCAGATATACATGCACAGGCAAGCTTACCTGCACAGATGTACACACACAACACACACACACACAAATAATAATAACAATTTTTAAGTAAATCAGAAGATTAAGAAAAGGGCAAACCCCAGTCCTGCACACATGGCATTTGCCCAAACAATGCCCAAGTTTATGGATGACATGTTTTCTAGGTTGCACGTATTAGAAGACCTTTTTCTTTTCCCATGGAAGACTGACAGTTAACTAAAAGGCCTTATATCTATGGAAAACTTTGGCAAGTTGGTCACAGATGACTCCATGATGATTTAGCTTTCTGTTTCATCTTGAATCTGCTTTCTGCTGGTAGAAGTTCCTTCTTTGATCACAGAATGTTGTCAGAGATGGTTGTTTGCTCTCCAGGACCCATGGTTTGTAATTAGTCTGTTCCATGGTCCCTTTAACCTATGTAAATTTGTTTTTCTCTTCCTACCAGAGTGTTAAATGCAAAAGTAGGTCCTGTACACTGTCACATTTTGAATTGCTTCTGATGAAAAACAATTTTAACTTTCACATAAAAGCTGAAAAAGATCACTTTTGCAATCTGTTAGGCAGCCAATGCAGCCTCTTTGCATCCGGCAGCAAGGCCAGTTAAAGGAGCCAAGCCTCGTGTCCTACCATACTGGCACACAACATAGTTATAGGAACACAATTAGTAAACTGCATAGAATTTAGTAGAATCCTCATAGAATGAATAGGTGTCTTTCTTTTCTCCTTCTGGTTCACAAAAACCCAAACCTCATTTTATAAGCAAAGTTGGTCTTTGATTTTCATATGGTTTTTCTGAAATCCAGAAATTTGGATGAAGTAGCATTAAAACCACACCAAACTTAACCAAAGTAGCCATTGTCTGGCCAAGGGTTTATACTGAAAAAGAGTGAATATTTCTTCAGGGCTTAAAGCCTGCACATTTGGTTTTATGTGACCCAGCATGACACGTGGGTTTCTGTTCAGCTAAGGGAAGAATCTGCTGAAGAAGCCAGGCTCTGTGGCCTGTGGTTTCCTCGTCTCTAGGCTCCTTCACGGTCTGGGAACCTCGGTGGCCATTTTGTATCTGTGTATCATGGTTAGAATGTGTAACATTCATTGGTATTGAAGAATGCTAATGAAATGGTATGTAGTTCAGCTGAATTATGTTCAGCTTGTTCAACTATGTTCACATTTGAAGTCAAATGTGGCTTTGACTTTAAAATGCAACTTGTGATAGGGCAAGTAAAAGCGGCCTAATGTTCTAATAGTGGTAAATACTTTTTCAGGGCCCATAGCCTGTCACCTACAGATCACCAAGCAGCATTCTACCTGGCTCTGCAGCTCGCCATCTCCAGACAGGTCAGTGTTTATAATGTCCCCTAAGCCTGGTACACACTGTCCCCATCCAGGTCTTTCAGTTGGAGGTATCGTAAGACTGTCTTCCCTTAACTGAGGCTGGCTTGGAAGCTGGGCCCTGCTCTCAGGGGAAGCCAGCTCCTCTCAGAAAAGACCTTGGGGCTCAATTCAGTATGAGCTTGTGCTGTGAAGATAGAAGACCTAGGCTTCTATTATTTATTCTTGAGAATAAATCCACAAATCTAGAGGATCCAGTTTGGGGTCAGATGAGTGCAGGACAAGGCATGTACCCTGACTCTATGGGTCACCAAAGATCCTTTGGCCTTTGCTAACAGGGACAGGGGGGTGGGACCCAGTGCTGAGCTTCATGGTGGGGATTTAGCCACTGGTTGGAGCCTGATTGTCACAAAGCCATCTATGCTTAACTGGAAAATGCTAGAAGGCATCAACAAGAGACGATAGACCCTTTAAAATAGATGTTGATACAGATGATATGAACATTCACAGTGTTGCATGTTCTCACTAGAAAGCCAAGCCTTCTGGCCTTCATCTTCCCAGAGCCATCTTGAGTTGCCTTTCATATTCAAGTATCCCTACTCCCTCCCAGCTGTTCTAGAAATTGCAGCCATATGCTTGCCAGCTCACTAGGTGCAAGACCTGGGTGGTGACCCCAGCACATTCCTGAGTGTAAACTGAAGGGTGAATTAGAGGTTGGCTCCTAAGATGCGTCATTCCCCATAGGCTGGGCCAAGGAGTGCATTACCCTTCTCAGTTGCTTCAAAATAATGTTAAGAAGTGGCTCCCATTGGCATCCTGGGAACAGAGGCAACCAAGATGCCTGCCTAGAAAGGTTTGTCATGCTGATGGAATATGGCTCACAGCTGGATTGGCCAGGAGCTGCTGCTGTACCAGAGGCGGGCTGAACACTAAGCATCTGCTTTCTTTGCACCTCCTCATGAAACCCTTCCTTATATAGTATCAGTCCTTTTCACTTGAGGTTGCAGGAGGAGGGGACCCATGGCTGCCATTGTCATTGTCTTAACACTCAAAACAATGCCTGGTATGTGTTTGATAGCAAGACTTTTTGAATGAAGGAGCTAGCTCTGAACCCCTCAATCCACTCCCCTCTAAAGACATCATTTTGAGCCCAACTCTGTCACTAAATATTTGACCATCCCTGAAAACCAGCACCATGAGGATGGCTGCCTTTGCCTCCCTACTTCAGGCTGAGTGATGGTCACATAGGAGGTTGACGCCCCAGAGAGGGGGTAAGTAGATGGGGTCTTACAGATAACAGTCCATCCACAAGGATTGTAGGAATGCAGTGTTAAAGCACCCAGGCTCTAAGTAAGTGTGTCCTTGTTAACTGGGACAGAGGTAGTGACCCTCCTGGAGAGGGCAGAGAGGGATCAGAACAGCCAGAGTCACCCCATTTTCATACTCAGAGAGTACTCAAGCATCTTACCCCTCTGTACTTCAGCTTTCTCCCTGCCAGTGAAGTCTGTGGCCAACTCTAACAGCCGTGACTCTAGGGTTCCAAAGAAGGCCTCCATAGCCAGCACTTAAGGGGTAGGCCCATGAAAACAAGGAGGCTTTGGAAAAAGAAGTCATAGATTCTCCTAAGGGCAGAGGTTCCTGACTTGGGAAGAGGTAAGAGAGCTAAAGGATAGAGTTGGAGGCCACACAGCAGTCCCCTGGGTAGATATGTCAGAATGCTTCTGTCCCCAGCTCTGTTTTGAAATCCAACTTAAGATTCTCCTTTCTATTGAATCTGTGAGATCTAAAGTATTCAAATGTCTACTGAACATGTAATCCTGGGCTGCATGCTTTTAAAGAACATGTCATGAGGAAGACATGGGAGGATGACTCAGTGGGTAAGGTGCTGCTCCTTGGCACTTAGGGGACAGCCAGGTACAGTGACATATCAGTAAGCACAGCACTGTAGGGCAGACACAGGCAGATCCTGGGAGCTCTGGGCTCAGTGAGAGACCTTGCCTCAAAAAGAAGGGGGAGAGGGTGGAGAAGACAGCCCATGCCAACCCCTGGCCTCTGCATGCACATCCACAGGCAAGCACACATGTATGTACCACATCCACAACATGTTGAGCAGCTGTCGCATTTATGATCAAGGTTGTGTCTGGACTTGCTTGGATTTGGATACATCTGCTTTGCAAGTAATCCTGTAATTTGTTTCTTGCATGCAGTTACTTTGGGTTATAGTTTAGAAAGATGTGGGGTTTTGTTTGTTTGTTTGCATATTTCCTTCATGTCCAGTGGAGATCCAGACAGCTGGTCCTTAGAAAGCTCTGCTAAAGGTCTCATGGCTTATGAAGTATTTTAACTTCAATAATATTCTGAAGAGGGAGAATGGTTCAGCTAAGGCAGTTTAATTCCATGAAGAACCCCTGGTAGCTTGTCTGTGTCTCCATTTACACTGAAACCATCGTAGACAAAATCAAAGCACGTCCGTTCTATGGGGAACAAAAGTGAGAAAGTGTTGATTTAGAGAGATGGAAAAGGCGTGGTGGGCAGTTAAGTGGGGTCTCTCCTGGTCCCTTGGTAGGAGGTGCTCTCTTGGCCAGCATCCTGAGGCTGCCATTCAGACGGCCCTGAAAATGTGGATGCAGCATGCAGTGGTGCAGCTCACAGTGAACCAGATGGAGCCATGGCCTCCTGTGTGGCTGTGTCTAAACATTCTTTTTGGTTTTGTTTTAAACCAGATACCAGAAGCTCTAGGATACGTCCGCCAAGCTCTTCAGCTCCAAGGTGACGATGCCAACTCCCTGCACCTCCTTGCTCTCCTGCTGTCAGCCCAGAAGCACTACCATGACGCTCTCAACATCATCGACATGGCCCTGAGCGAGTACCCAGAAAATTTTATGTAAGTCATCCTACTGTGGAATTCTTGAATGGGCCTCACCCTCCTCCTTTCCAGTCTGTCAGATGTGAGACCTTCATGGACACTCAAGGAGGACAGAGAATCTCTGTTACTCCTGTTTACCCCTCCTCCAATGCTTAAAAGTAGGCTGTTGCCTCGTTACCCTTCCCCAGCTCAGGTCACCCTCATCAGTTCTTCCCCACCGTGTTTCCTGGAACACACAGTGTACCAAGAAGGCAGGTGAATATTTTAATAGCTTTCAAGAAAAATATTAAGTAAATACTAACACCAATACACTTGGCTGTGACAAAACTGTGAAACTCCAGTGGCTGGAATGTGGGAAGAATTGCTTGAAAGCCTGTTTGTCCTGTATCTCTGAGGCAACAACCAACTCTGGGTGATTATTCTGTAACTCGGATCAGGATACTTGAGCTCTCTGAGCCTAAGTTTAGTACCTAGGAAATACAATTCCTTGAATAAGTTAATCAGTACGTATACATACTGTAAGAATTATCATCACAAGCAGCCAGAGGCTGAGCCTGCCTATCCCTCATCACATCTGTCCTCTGAGTCACATTTTTATTGAGCCCACAGATGTGGGATTCATTGACTCCATGCTGTGGTGGTTAGGCCTTGTGGAGGACATTGTCGTCCGGGCTACTGGGTTACCATTTCATCCTCAGTGGAGCTTAGTTACCAGTACACAGAGGCCAGAAATAGTAAACACTCCTGCAGGCTGGAAGGTTCTAAGTGCCTACACGGCTGCAGATCCAGTAACAGGGTGGGGACAGCTTTCGGGTAGAGAGGCAGGGGGAGAAGGGAAGAAATGTGCCTTACTTTCTCTCTGTTTTCAGAAGTGCAGCAGTAGCATTTAAATAGGTCAGCTCTGGCTTGATCTCCCTTGTCTCATCCTCTCGTGGTGCTTTTAATCAGTGCTTTTTCAGAAACTCCATGGAAAACTGGTTCACACATTTCCACTACAAACATTTCTTTGTCTTCAAGGAAAGGGCACTTCTCCACGTCGCCTCATGATCCAGGAAACTTGTGACTGGAGATTTCTTTTGTGGGCTCAGCTGTTTGCAGAGTGAACTAAAGAGCTTTGCTGCAGTTTTTCTTCTGGCATGTCTCAAACCGGCTCTGTGGCACCTGTGTGTTTCCAAATTTTATCCTATAATGTTTAGCCCGTAGAATCTCAAAGTGGTTAAATTACTTTTAAAAGTGTTTGGTTCTTTCTCCAACCTGATGAAGTAGTAAAGTGTGTGATCAGTTGTGCTTGATCTCTCTCATCTGTCTTTTTTTTTTCACTCTTTATTTTATTTTTTAATATAATTTTTTTATTTATTGCAGTTTATTCATTTTGTATCCCAGCTGTAACTCTGTCCTCATTCCCTCCCTATTCCACCCTCCCTCTCTCCCTTCCTTTTCTCCTCCCATGCCCCTACCCCAATCCACTGATAGTGAAGGACCTCCTCCCCTTCTATCTGACCCTAGTCTATCAGGTCTCATCAGGACTGTCTTTCATAGTCTTCCTCTGTGGCCTGATCAGGCTGCTCTCCCCTCAGGGGGAGGTAATCAAAGAGCCAGCCACTGAGTTCATGTCAGAGACAGCCCCTGATCCCCTTATTAGGGAGCCCATTTGGAGACTGAGCTGCCATGGGCTACCTCTGTGCAGGGGGGCCAGGTTATCTCCATGCATGGTCCTTGATTAGAGTATCAGTCTCAGGAAAGATCACTCAGTCCAGATTTTTTGGTTCTGTTATTCTCCTTGTGGAGCTCTAGATCCTTCCAGGTCTTTCTATCTCCCCCTTCTCTCATAAGATTTCCTGCACTGTGCTCAAAGTTTGGCTATAAGTCTCAGCCTTTGCTTTAATATCCTGTTGGGTAGAGTCTTTCAAGAGGCCTTCTGTGGTAGGCTCCTGTCTTGTTCCTTATTTTCACCTTCTTCTGATGTCTATCCCATTTGCCTTTCTGAATGAAGATTGAGCATCTTACCCAGGGTTCTCCTTTTTGCTTAGCTTCTTTAGCTGTACAGATTTTAGTATGATTATCTTATATTATGTCTAATATCCACTTATAAGTGAGTATATACCATGTGTGACTTTCTGCTTCTGGAAGGCAAGGCTGCCCACTCTCTCCATATCTCTTCAACATAGTTTTTGAAATCCTTGCTAGAGCAGTAAGACAACTAAAGGAGATCAAGGAGATTCAGTTTGGAAAGGAAGAAGTCAAACTATCACTATTTGCAGATGATATGATAGTATATATGAGTGACCCCAAAAATTCTACCAGGGAACTCCTACAGCTGATAAACACTTTCAGCATCATGGCTGGATACAAAATTAACTAAAAAAAAAAAAAAAAAAAAAAAAAATCTCTCGTTGGTTTTTATAAAGTACCCTCTCTGATTTCTCCCTCCAACACACATGTGCCCATGCATGTGCGCACCCTCTGCCCTCATTAGACGCTACGCTTCAGCTGTGGCTCCTGTCTCACGAGCATCCTAGCACCCTAGAGGAGCCTCCTAGACTAATAGTCACACTGCACGGAAAGCAGTCAGCAGTGATGGCTAGCGTGGCAATGCCTCCAAGTGACAGCAGCTGATGCCTTCTCCAGGAGTAGGAATGAGAGCAGCAGTGGAGATATTTGAGGAATACAAGCCTGTTATTTTAATGTTAAGCTGTAAGCTGGAAAAAGCAGAGCTTGCGGTATCGCTTAGATCCGAGAACAGCCCAGGACTTGTTTGCTTTTCAAGTATTTGTTTTTCTTCCTCTGTGATGGGAAACTTCTTCCCAAGAATACCTACTAAAAGCTGAGAGCAGATACAGCTGTGGATCCCATGGTTCCCTGCCAACCTGGGTAAAACATATAGCACCAACCAAAACAAGAGTGATGGCCAGTCTTGTCCCAACTGCAAGAAATTATGTTTGTTTTGATGAATTTGTCCCCAGCAGAACTTCAGACCCTAGAGCCTAGGGTTGCCTCTGGCTTCTTTTATTGCTAAGCCACAGCTAGTGATATTATGTTCCAATTTGTTTTCTAGGCATGAAAATCCTCCCATTAGGGTCCCCCTTGTCTGTCTTGTTGAAGAGTTGCCAGAAAAGGTGGCTGAAGGTCCTCATAGAAGCAGCTGATCCTCCCGCTCTACCCCGTCTGTATTAGTCTGTTTTTCATCACTATAGCAAAAGTCTGAAGTTGGGTTAACATTTGTAAAGAAAAGAGTTTTTCCAAATGTTTGTCTAGAGGTTAGGTTCTGCTCAGCTTTGATGGGGTGACCTCGGCTCTATCACATATAGTGCATCGTGGTAGGTGTACATGGAGGGATCACATGCACAGATGAAGCATGAACAGGAATCAAGAGAACAGGAATGGTCCAGCCTTGCGCTTTTATAGCAGTCTAGTCAATAGAAAATTAGCCGTGACCCTGTAAGAATTCCATCAGTTGCCAGGTGGTGATGGTGCACTCCTACAGGCCCAGCACTCGAGAAGCAGGTGGGTCTCTGTGCATTTGAGGCCAGCCTGGTCTACAGAGCAAGTTCCAGCTCAGACGGGGCTACACAGAGAAACTGTCTCAAAAAACAAAAACAACAAAAATAATATCAGTTATTTCCAAGGGCAGTGTCCCCAGTGACATAATTACCTTGAACTAGGCCCACCTCTTAAAGGTTCTACCACTTTCCAACATCACACTGAGGATCAAGCTTCCAACAACCCTTGGGGACAATCAAACCATGCTGAAAGCATATGCTATATGCTTTGGTTTGGAGGTATGTCCTCCAAAGACGCAGGTGTCAAGGCTTGGTCCCCAAGGTGGTGCTTAGGGAAGTACCTTGGCTCTTTAAAGCGCAGTGTCTTGGTTACTTTTCTATTGCTGTGACAAAACACCATGAACAAGGCACTCATAAAGGAAAACAATTATTGGGGCTTACACAGTTTCAGAGGGTGAGTCTGATCATCATGGCTGGGAGCCTGGGCATAGTGCTAAAGCAGTATCTAAGAGCTTCTTCTTGGAGAGAACAACCTGGGAACGCCATGTGCTTCTGAAAGCTCAGAGCCTGCCCACAGTGACACACCATCTCCATTAGTCACACCTCCTAATCCTTTCCAAACACTTCCACCAGCTGGGAACCAAGCATTTGAATATATGAATAAATCTCTGGGGGCCCGTGCTGGTTTGATGGAATGGCCCCCAGAGACTCGTGTGTGAGTCCTTGGCCACAGGAGTGGCACGGTTAGGAGCTGTGGCCTTGTTGGAGTAGGTGTGTCACTGTGGGGGCGGGCTTTGAGGTCATCATATATCCTGAAGCTACGCCCAGTGTACAGTCTCCTTCTGCTGCCTGTGGATCAACAACAACAATAAAAACAAACCAGAATAGGATAGAACAAACAGATGGGGGCAGGGGAGAGTGCCAAAGAAAAGGTATACGAAACACATTCAGAGGCTGACACACACACAGAGAAATCTTACAAAAACATAAAACTGGAAACTATTATATATAAGCAAAAGACATGTAAGGTAGAAAAATGCCTAGCAAAGCATTATGAGACAAAAACCTCTAAAAGTACCATTGAGTTCATTTGTCTTAGCCACTGCTGAGCATGGAGCCTGCTCTTAAGTATGAAAACCCAGGTCTTCTATGTGTGCTCTAACCACTGGACCACAGCCCAGCCCACTTTGCTTCCTCTTAATTGTCAGTTGTTGAGCAGGAGTTCTTAGTTTCAAAGTATTTGACTTTATGGAGCATGCCCTTAAACAGTGCATGCACGAGTGTGGGGATTGTGTTGGGGAGGGTGAAAGGGGGTAGTGTGTGTGTGTGTGTGTGTGTGTGTGTGTGTGTGTGTACTTCATGCATACCACTTAGTTAAATCCCAGTATTCTTTTCAAAATTTGAGACCTCACTAAGGTGCCTCAGTTGGCCATGAATTTACTATGTAGTCCAGGCAGGCCTTGATGTGATCCTCTTCCCTTAGCTTCCCAAGTAGCTGGGATCACAAGCCTATACCAC